TTGCGAGTCCTTTATTATTCTCCCTTTTCCTCGACGATCTCCCTGATTGTCTTGAATACGGTATATGCTATGGAAATATTGAAATAAAGACTCTTTTGTACGCGGACGATATTGTGATTCTGTCAGACTCACAGGTTACCCTGAAAAAAAATATTAATGCCTTAAAGACTTACTGTAATAAATGGAATCTTTCGGTCAACCTAAATAAAACCAAAATTATGGTTTTTCGTAGGGGAGGCAGGCTTGCGGCTAATGAACGCTGGTATCAGTGAGTATAAATATTTGGGCCTAATTCTCACCCCTAAACTTTCATTCAATGGTCATCTGAAGCGAAAAACTCATATTGCAAAATATGCATTGAATTCAATTTGGGCTAAATTCACTTCCAATAATTTTGTCCCGGTGTGTAGCAAATACAAGCTCTTTTTGGCTGTTTGCCGCTCGATTGTGTCCTAACGGTTTCCAGCGCTATGAAACAGTTGAATCCCTATAACGCTATTTTATCCATAAAATCTATCACCTCCATTCTTTCACACCTAACTACATGATCTACCTGGAGACCTCAGCTGAACTTTTGTTTCAATTTACATTACATTTACATACCTCCTATGTCTGCAGGGTTCTAAACCTTCCTAACTACCGCCTTCCCACGAATACTGCGCTGGAAATCATAAGGTCCAAAATATCATGGTTCTCTTCCTGGAATAACTTGGCTCAACAATTTCAGCTGACAATTTTTCCCTGGACAATTTCAAAGAGTGGCTACTTTTACACTCAAAATTAATTAACAATATCCGCACTTCTCACAGAATGAAAAGTCTCCTTCATGCTCAAAATTCTTCTAGGTTTTTTCTTTATAAGGACCTTAATATCAGTCAACCTTTCTTGAACATAGCGCAAAATTCTAAAATTCCGTCCATTCCGCTAGCTCGCTGGTTTTTCAAAATTAGGTGCGAGTTACTGTATGTTAATTATAACCCCACAAGAGTCAATAGTTCCGATAGGTGCTCTCTCTGCAAAAGGCAGGCTCGAGAAGATAGTTTTCATTTTCTAGCAGAATGCCCAGTTTTAGCTGAGTTTCGAGCACGGCATATAGGCTTGCCCACGTTGACGAGAGAGCACCTAATCTCTTTATTAAATAACCCTGAGTCTTTAAATCTGGTAAAGTTTTCGATGGAAGCCTGGAACTACAAGAAAACGCTTGTTTTTTATTTCAACTATTAAATGTTTACTGTATATATCAGAGACACCCTGGTTATTTATGTGTGCATAAATAGATATATTGTTATTTTAGTTTACTTATATAGTTTTTTTTCTCTTTCTTTTGTTTATTCCTTAAGAAGAAATATGTTTCTTGTTTATTAAAAATGTACAGTCCGACTCCGGCAGACGGTTGATAACCATTGCCGTTATGTGCTTTTTGGTTATGTACAATTTTTTTTCTTCTACTATCTTTTGTTTATCTAGTAAAGTACATTCATTCATTCATATTTTTGCTTGTTAACTAAATCATCAAGTTTTAACAATCTGTATATGTTTTGAAGTATTTGGAATCAATTTAAGCTATATTTATTTTGCATATTTGTTCATATATTGCCATAAATGCATATTTTTGCATAATTGGGTTGTAATTGCATATTGTTTACATATCAGGCATACGTATTTGGCAGGTCAAATGTTAATATTTCTGAGCAGGCAAAAAAAAGTCTCCGAAAAAGACTACGGGCTCCCTTTCTTCCGTTTCCAAATAATGAACGAGTTTGTGTTTGTCAAGTTGCTGCTGCAACGCTTTCCGCGAACTTTCGGTCGCCGTTGCTTCTCATGGAATAAATGGAGAAAGGAATAGTGTTTGTAACACTGTAAATGTTCTCTTGGAATAGTTTAATTGGATTCATGGAAATATTACGATCTCAGTTCTCTTCTTTCCCTACCATCATATTTCTCAGTTTTATCCAGTTTCTCATGCCTTTTCCATCGAGAGACATTATTTGTGTGTTGTGAACTGACTATACCTAAAATGCCGAAAGTCACCGCAAAGACGAAAGATCTTGTACAAAAGAATGTGCGTTAGTTTTCCAGTGAGACTTTTAAGGACGATGCAGACGTTTTAGGCTGTGTTTGTTGTAATAAACCTGTATCAAAAGATACAAGTTTTTTTGGAAACACAGCACATAAAGACAGCAAAACACAAGAAAAACAAAGGTAGGAAGTCTAACTTTCACCAAACCTTTGTAGCACAAGCTGCCACAAGTGCTGGGTCTGAAAAGTCCGGGATTCGATACCGATTTATGTTGTGCTTTCGTTACAGCTGACATACCCATCCATAAACTAAGCCACCCTGAATTCAAGGTTGTTTTTAGAAAGAGGGAAATCAATCCCCACGAAAGTACCCTCAGGAAATCTCACATGGATACAATGAAACACTCCATAAAATGGACTGAATCGAAAATGGACCGATCGGGGTCAAGATGGATTAGAGGGCGAATTTTTTAAATTTACCTTTATTTTAAATGCGTTTTTATTTCTTAACATTAGCCATGTGATGTTCCTCTTGCCATTGTTTCTCTTTGAAATACAATTATATGCTTTAATTTGGAGTTTCTTTATTTCTTCTCATGGGAGTTTTCAGTTTTAAATTGCATTTTTTACCAAATATTTTTGAAGTAATTCTAATCAATTTAAGCTACATTTATTTTGCATATTTGTGCAATTATTGCTATAAATCTTGCATAAGTGGGTTGTAATTGCATATTTATTTTACATATCCGGCATATCGGTATTTGGCGGGTCAAATGTTAATATTTCTGAGCAGGCAAAAAAAATTCTCCGAAAAAGAGCTACGGGTTCACATTCTTCTTTTTCCACACAATGAACGAGTTTGTGTTTGTCCAGTTGCTACTCCAACGCTTTCCGCGAACTTTCGGTCGCCGTAGCTTCTCATGGAATAACTGGAGAAAGGAATAGTGTTTGTACCACTGTAAATTCTCTTGGAATAGTTTAATTGGATTCATGGAAATATTACGATCTCAGTTCTCTTCTTTCCCTATCATCGTAATATTCAGTTTTACCCAGTCTCTAATGCGTTTTCCGTCGTGAAACATTATTTGTCTGTTATGACCTAACTACTCCTAACATGCCGAAAGTCACCGCAAAGACGAAAGATCTTGTTAAAAAGTATCTGCGTGAGTTATTCAGTGAGATTTTTAAGGGCGATACAGACGTTTTATACTGTGATTGTTGTGATAAACCTGGATAAACAGCTACATGTTTTTTGGTAACACAGCACATAAAGACAGCAAAACACAAGTAAAACAAAGGTAGGAAGTCTAAGTTTCAACAAAACTTTGCACACAAACTGCCACAAGTACGGGGTCTGAAAAGGCCGGTTTCGATACCGATTTAAGTCGTGCTTTAGTTAGAGCTGACATCCCGTCCATAAACTAAGCCAAACTAAATTCAAGGGTTTTTTGGAAAAATGCACAGGGAAAACCAATCCCCACGAAAGTACCCTCAGGAAATCTCACCAGGGTCTTAAATACAATGAAACACTCCATTAAATCAGAGACTTCGTCAAAAATGGATTGATGTGAGTATCGATGGATGAGGGCGGATTTTTTAAATTTGACTTTTTTTTAATGCGTTTTAAATTTTTAATATTAGCAATGTGATGTTCCTCTTGCCACTGTTTCTCTTTTCAATACAATTATGCGCTTTAATTTCAGATTTCATTTTTTTTTCATGGTAGTTTTCGCATATTTTCAGTTTTAAATTGCATTTTTTTACCAAATATATTTACATATAAATATGCATAATTGTCTGTTTTTATTGCATATAAATCACAGCCCTAGTAATTACATTGTAATTGTACTTTACAAATTATTATTTCCTTAATGTTTTGTGGGTTTTTTATATTCAGCAAGGTTTAAGTGGCGTCCAATGACGTAGGTAGTTTATTTTATATCGGCTTGAAATGGGAAGGGGTCATTTTGTGGATCCCAACACGCTCATTTGGTCTCCAACTAGGCGTAACTCGGCTTGACACAGCAAATTCCTCGACTCGACATATCCAAACCTAATTGCACGATATCTTCGAACTACACATTCCAATTTTTTTTCGCTCTCTCTTTTTCAAAAAAGATATAACGTTAAAAAACTATTCATCTTATACAAACCCACAGCGCTTCACGATACGCACGATTAATTGGGACGAGGGCAAAAAGTTATATTGCGTGGAAACACCGGAGATTCGGGGAATAAACATCCACTGGATTTATGTTTGCGCCGTTTGCGGCGAGCTTCCGGTCAGTCCTCCCCAGTAGAGCAAATGGAACCGAAACCGATTAACGGAAATGATTTTTTTCCCCTTTTTGTGGGGTGAGTCTAGTGTAAAAAATAATAGCCAACATGAAAATATAACTATTGCGGTACACACTTCTTTATAAAGTAATCAATCCATTTACGAAACACTTGTTACTGATTTCCTTTAACGTTTTGATTCTATGGGGAGAGTGAATTTGTGACGTTAGGAGCATTGACTATTTAGCTGAGGACGTTTGATTGGCAGGATTGGATGCGCTGGATGATGGGTAGCTTGGCAGCACTCCATAATTCCACTCCGTACGTCGAAAATGTCGCAGTAAAGTCTTGTATAAGGTTTGTTTAGTGTTGAGGATCAAGACGGATTTCATTAGTTTTTCCTTTGACATCTAAGCATTATATTAATCTCAAAGATGTATTTTTGGATGTGTTTATATCTCCGAAAAATAAATGTACAAATTGTTGGACTTGGACCTGGAAGCATCATATTAATTCTACATGAACAATAAAAAAATTTGATAAGGAAATATCGCGTGCTTATGTCTAGGGAAAGTAAATACTTCACATTATTGGAATTTGGAATAGAAACGTTGATTAGAAGAGATCTCTACACTGCGAGTCTAGAAATTTGACAAGGAAAGAGCAACATTTTATAAATATAATTTACATAATGTTACATAATTTCACATAAAAATTATATTATTGATGGAATCTATGAATCTTTTGCGGGCTCCCAACGCTCGAAGATGTGTGTGTAGTGGAGGCTGTGTGTGGTTTAGGAGATGTGTAGCGGAATGTGTGGGAGGATGTGTGTGTTGGAGGTGGTGAGTGATGAAGGCTGTTTCTGGTGAAGAAGGTTTGTGGTGGCGGTGGTGAGTGATGAAGGCTGTGTCTGGTGGAGCAGGTTTGTGGTGGCGGTGGTGAGTGATGAAGGCTGTGTCTGGTGGAACAGGTTTGTGGTGGCGGTGGTGAGTGATGAAGGATGTGTCTGGTGAAGCAGGTTTGTGGTGGCGGTGGTGAGTGATGAAGGCTGTGTCTTGTGAAGCAGGTTTGTGGTGGCGGTGGTGAGTGATGAAGACTGTGTCTGGTGAAGCAGGTTTGTGGTGGCGGTGGTGAGTGATGCAGGCTGTGTCTGGTGGAACAGGTTTGTGGTGGAGGTGGTGTGCGTGGAAGCTGTGTGCATGGTGGAGGCTGTGTAGGTGTAGGTAGTGTGTGGCAGAATGTGGTGGAGGTTGTGTGTGCTGGAGGTGGTGTGTGGTGAAGGCTGTGTGCCGTAGAGCTGGTGTGCGCTGGAGTGTGTTGGAGGCTGTGTGTATAGGAGGTGATGAGTAATTAAATCTGAGAATGGCGGAACTGGTGTGAGGTGGAGGTGGCATGTGGTAGAGGCTGTGCGTGGTAAAGGCGGTGTATGGTGGAGGCATTGTGAGGTGAGCGTAGTGGAGGCTGAGTGTGTGTTAAATTATTACATTCGCACTAACACACAAAACATCAACACATACTATGTACAATTAAAAACTGGCCTAGCCCAGAAGTATAGAACCGTCGTGCAAGTGGCAGTGACCTAATTCTACGCACAGGTCAGTGTGGACCCCTTAGCTCCTGTAGCAAGCAACTAATTTCCACCATTGTAAAATATGTGTACTCAATTTATATTCTCTCGATGTAATGGACACCGAAGCGGTTCCTTTCTCGACAATAAATGCCTACGCGTAAGCCTAATGACCTATGCGAAACCTAGTCAGTATGGACATTACAATTTTCGACTACCTCAATCGACTAAAGTACAATGCCAGCCATTAACTGTAATTTTGTAAATGTAATAATAATACAAATAATTTACTTTTTTTATTCAAAAACAACGGTTGACTATTGACAACGGTTGATTTAATTAATATATTAGGCATAGTAATAATATGGAAATAAATGCGGTAATAAGATGCGTTATGAACACTTAAACACCTGAGTCTGAGCATTGTTTATTTGGTAAAAACTTATACCATCTGCAAGAAGCGTTAATGTTGGAGTTATGGACTCGGCCGTGTCCACTTAGTCAAACTGAGCACGTCCCGTAGCAAAAAAATATATATAACTACTTGAACCTGGCACTCATTTAGGATTCGAGGGATGTCTCGGGCCTTTTCTCTTCTCCAGGAGCTTTCGGAACAAGGGTTAAGTCGTGTTATCTGGCAATACCTTTACGCTGAAAACTGCCGTACATGTTATACCTTGACCGGTCATAATCCTATTTATATCATTCTTTCTACGACGTGTGAAATTGAGCTGCCGTCTGCTCCGGCCCCTTAAGCCAGCCGAATAATTTGTAAAACCGCGACTTACGGGTTCAATTATTTACGGAAAATCACGGACGCTATAATTAATGCATGTTATCACCAGTGCGTGAGTCCCCAGGCTAATCCAGTCAGATATTTATGCTATCTCTGCGGTAATGTGGTCCCATTTGCATAGAGCGAGGGGTTGGAGCCTACCGTGGAAGATAGCCGATATGCACAAGACAACCCCATTTACGATGTGAGGGGTGCGAGGGAGAAGGTTTGCAAGTAATCTCTATACTCCGTTCACGTTCGTTTTGTACGATTCATTTTACGTTTAAGTATTTGTGTAAAAATTCTTGATTTCCTTTCTACAAAACTGGGTTTACATTTACTTTTCATTTTACTTTATTAACCGAAAGGAACTCCCGATGCCGGAAAAAGCAATAGTGTACATTACAACCTTTTACAATGCAATATTTCGCATAACCTATTCCTCCATCCAGTGCAAACTCAATCTTTAATAACCCTAAAGCCAGGAACGCACTTACCCGATGTAACCCGATGCTACCCGACGCCTTGCCACGTTTTGGTGCAGTTTGCACATCTATCCGTCGCAAGCACACGTCGCGTACAGTCCTCAGCGTTTATCACAATAATCACGATCACAATCGCAACGCATATTTTGTTCTTAATGCACTATTTTAAGCAAAACCTTGAAATAAATTGTTAGTTAAAATTTATGAGCACAACCATCTAATAAATCGTTTGTTAAACTTAATTGTTTTAAATAAAGTTACTCCTAACCATCATAATTAAACAATGTTTATAAAAACTTATGCATTTTTTATCTCGTTTAATTTGGCTTACATTAAAATAACGTGTGGTAATTAATATAACGACAAAATTACATTTACTTAGTTTGAAATAAACTACCAAAAATATGAGTGTCCTGTTCTGATGCTACCCGACATTACAAAATGGTGTAATTTTACGAGCAAAACTATGAAATAAATTGTTAATTAAATTTTATGAGGAAAACCGTGTAATAAATTGTTCCAGTTTTAGTATATGTACCGCCGAAGCGAGGACAATAAATTGTTAGTTAAATTCATTATATCAAAAAATCGTATTCCGGTGTTTTGATTAATTTTCTACCAAACCATTAAAATTAATTTTTTAAATAAAAACTAATTAATTTTTAATCACAGTTAATTTGGTTTATATTAAAATAAGTATGTTGTAATTAATATAACGGCAATAATACATGTAGTTTGAATAAAAATATGAGTGTCCGGTTCTTTTGTCTTCGACTGTACTCGATGCGACCCGACGAAAATCTGGACAGTGGGGATCGCAGAGCGTCGGGTAGATGTGCACGGGGGTAATGCAACCTTATTTTGAGTTTGGATTTGCGTCGGGTAGGTCGTGTGGCGTAGCATCGGGTAAGTGTGTTTCTGGCTTAATACTAAAACCACATAAATCATCCTGTGCCTCATCTTCTTATAGACCGATAAATAGACCCCCTCCTCTTTTATCCAAAATCGTTGAGGTCTCCTCCTTAAAAACCATTCCCGTAACTTAATTTCCAACCATCGATTTGGATTCCGATTCCGCTATCCCAATGTTCAGCAGTGTTTCAGAATTGTCGACACGATATCTTAGGCTCTAGAAACCAAACAATATTTCTCAGCCGTATTTCTGCATGTTCTGAAAACAATGGACCTAGTATGACTCCCTGGTCTTTGTAAAAGTTAAAACATATCTTCCCTCATAGCTAGTATCTCATCCTGAAGTCCTTCCTCTCCGATCGATGGTATAAAGTGAGAATCTACACCGATTGTTTACCCATCACGCCAACCCAAGTTGGCGTTCCACTAGGAAATATCATAGCTCTGATCCATTACAGCATCTACACTGCTCACATATTTACACCTCCAAACACACAACTCGAAGACACAGAAGCAATCCAACGACATCTGAACATCATTACTGTTTACTCGGTGGTGTTTCAAGTAGAACAAACGGTTTTCTGGCGTGATATTTATACTTTCTAAATTAAGCAACCGTTCAAGTTGGCTTTTGAGCCTCTCGACGAGGTCTCAAACAGTTTTATGCTTGTCTGATAAATAGTGCTGGTTTCTGTACGATTCGATTATGCCTTTGATACTACTTGAACAGCTGCAATTTTTAATAATTTGTATCTATCAAAATAAGCGAGTATTGATCCCTGTCAGTGCATAGCTTGGGTTATTTCCAATATTTTTTAGAATGGTATTGCAGGTGAAGCCTTACACAGCGCACGCATATGTTAACTCGGGACTTAAAAAAAAGTATTTCACACCCAAATTGGAATTGCGAGAAAGTAGTGGAAACAATATTTTGACTGTAAAAGTTTTGAGTTCAGCAGAACGCCGAGGTCTTTGCTGATTTCTTTGTCACTGAGGTTAACTTCATTGTTCACGGTTCGTTTTCAGTTTTTGAATACTATGGCTTCGGTTTTGCCGACAAGTTGATTTTCATTCTTCCCGCGAAATACCCAACAATCTTTTTCACTGCCTTGATGTCAGTCGGTTCGCTACAGCACAGATGATGTGCAGTGTCATCCGCGAGTAAAGCCAACTCAACACATGGAATTTTGGACAAGTCGTTTATGAAAAAAAAATCAGGAATAGAGTTAGGCTCAGAAAAGTCCCCTGTGGGACTCCATAAGCCAGGCCATCATTCATAATATTTCTCTATTTATACAGATACTATAGCAACTACTTCGACACCGTTTGAGCGGTAATTCTGGTCATATTATTAGAGATATCAGTAGGATTCTTTTGACAATTTAGAAGTCAAATATGGCCAACTTATTTAAAGAACAGGAATACGAAGGTAATCTGTTTATTGATTTGAAAACTGTTCGTAACGATGCTATGGACTGAAAAGTGTGGATTATTTTGAGATTAAATTATTCCAGAATCCAAGTACTAGTTCAGCTTAGTCTGAAGATGACCTGAAAGTGATAATTTTATTTTTTAACGGCAATTTACTTTTTTCGAAAACCCCAGTCATAGGTTTATTTTTTATGTTTTTAGTCCGAGTACCTAACCTGTTAAATTATGTATTATAACTCGAACAGAACGAATCTACAAGAGTAGTCAAAAAAGGCACATAATAACAAAAAGAACAAATGAAAAATTAAGCAATAATAACAAAAACACAAGGCTTAATGATTCAAGGCAAGTAAACATTTTAATTTAACTTTAACTGAATTCAAGGAATCGCGAAATACATCTATTTCATTAGAATAATAATTCAGCAATCTCATTATGCTCGGTATGGGTGAATTTAGTCCATATTCTGTTTTGTAGTGTGGAACAAAGAACAAATTATGGTTCCTAAGTGGTCGCTGAGTAACACATAGCGATAAATGCAAGTTTAGGATATCAATGGCCCCATTCCACAATTTTCAACCCCAAATGAGATCGGCAAAAATGCGGCGGGAGCTAAGCGACTCAAGACCAAGCCAGTTCAGTCTTTCCATGTAATTCAGGTGTGCAAGACCAAATCTGAAGGCCATTATCCTGGTTGCTTTCTTTTGTACTTTTTCCAATTCGCTAATCTCACCAACGTAGTAAGGGGACCACACGACACTTGCATATTCCAGATGGCTACGAAGGAGGGATTGATATAATATTTTAACTGCCAAGATGTTTTTAAAATCTCTAGAAAACCTAGTAATAAAGCCAAGATTGCGTAGAGCGTTACCTCGAATCTGTTTGATATGGTCACTGAAATCACCCTTTCTGCTGAAAACGACACCAAGGTCGGAGATAGGGTCAACCTCTTCCAATCTCAGCCCATGAATGAAATAGTCAAAACAATCAAAGTCACTAGGTTGGATATTTTTAGAAAATTTAATTACCTTGCATTTGTTAATATTCAAAGGAAGACGATTCTCCTCACACCAATTATTGAAGCATTGTGAACTAACACAGTCGTGAGTAGAAGACACTGAATTAAAAAATTTTAAATCATCCGCCAAGAAAGAAAACTTACAATCCTTGAATATACTATAGACATCATTGAAATAAACAAGAAATAATATGGGCCCGAAGTGAGAACCCTGAGGTACGACAGAAAATGTAAACATCCTATTCGAT